TTCTCAGTCTGGCTGGCCTGCTCATTGCCCTAATGTGACCTGTAGGATATATTTTATGGTTAATAACCACAACAAAAGCCTATGACACTCTTCTTCCTCATAAGATGGTTGTTTAAAGTGGTATTTGCATATTTCCAAAGAAAGTAACAGGTTCTTTCATAACTTTTGCACCACATGATATACTTTTCATGTAGTTCCTCTCTATATGTGCCTATTATTTCTAACTTTTACTGCATGGACATTATGCTGACAGATGCCAAGGTGAAAAAATACCAAGAAGGAATCCCCAGAAAATTTAGGAAATGCTGAAGACCAGGTTTCATCATTTTACATTAAGAGCTGATCTTTTAGTTGTGATACTATAGAAGGAAGGTACCGTAAAAGAGCAATCTTCTTGTGCATCCTAAACGGTTTAGTTTTCATTTCTATGCAAGGAAAGGGGAGAAAATCAGGTTCAGTTACAGTGGAAAAGCAGCAAAGTAGAAAATCTGAGTTATGGCCAGAAGTTAGAAGTTTTTAGCTAGACATTTTTAAACTTTTGAAATGCTATCTGGCCTCCACTGGGCTGGTCTAGGCCTATACTTAGGTGAGGTCCAAGTCAGAATTCTGTTTTCTTTTATGAAGTTAGAGAAACAAAAAACTTGAGTAAGGAAGAAACATGGTGTTGAATATTTCTGCGATGCCCATTAAAACCTTCTTCTTTAAACTAAGATCTACAGTGGCATATTTAAGTTCGTGTAAGTTAGCCTGAAAGTGAAACAGATCAAGCAAACTCCATTGTTTAAATTAAGTAATCTGCACATAGAAGCAAATTAAATTCCTACATTCTTTTGCCTTAATTCAAGATAAATTCTCATGGCTGTGGTGTAAAGAGGGACACTGTAATTAGGATACATGTTTTTAACTTGTTGCCTGTTTGTGGGAGAAAACTGATTTGTCTGGAACTCTCATTTCTTTTGTTAACTACAAAGCCAGTATCCACCTCTTGCTCAGTAGCACTGAAGAAGATAAGAGGCAAATGCCTCTTTATTTTTTTTTTTTAAGGATTTGTAGCATTCCTGGAACCCTCCAGCCTGAGATTTGCCTGCTTGATAAAGAGTCAAAAGTGGCCTTTTGCTTGGTTTCATCTTGAGCTGATTACTGCTGGTACTCAGCAAGAGCGGAAAAGTTATGCAGACCTGGAAGAATGTTTATTGCCAAGAACATGCTTCCCCTAAAGCACGTCACCCAGGCTCTGGCATTCCAACTCAGATGTTTGATCCTACATAATCAGATGATATTTGCTATGATAAACTCATTGTTTATCACTGTAAACACTGAAGGATCCTATGGCTTGTAAGCAGCAAGTGAGCCAGATCCCCAGCTGGCGTAAGTCATGTCTTACAGCTCCACTGGCCTCACTAGCTGTGCTAATTTACCCCAGCTGAGAGCCTAACCTGTTGTTTGGGATCATTATTTACCTTGGGATATGGATGTTGTTAATAATGTTTGAAATAACACCGCCCCTCTGTATTTTGACTCACATCTCTCTCCATTCTTAGAATTGGCTTGGGGGGAAAGGGGGAGCAGGATTAATTTTCATGTAAAAGGCCTTGATCATTTATTATATTGCTTTTGGGTTTATTTTGCTAAAAAAGATATCTTTGAAATGTGCAAATGTGAGCCAGTTCCTGAGCATCTTTTCTGTGTGCTCCTTTTTGCTTGAACATTAGGAGAGATGCTGGAGGAAGCAACAAGAATTACATTAAGGGAGGCACACCAGTGTCTTCTTGACTTGGAAGTGGTGCTAGATCTTTCCTGGCATTTGGTGAGGCCTATACTACTTTGCCAGACTTCTCTTGTTGCAAACATGAACATGAATGAATTGCCCTGGTGCAGAGTGGGGTTCTCACTGCTGCAAAATAATCCAGTAATGTGCTGAAGGATTAACTCCGCTAGCACAAGCTTTGTTTCTTTTTTCCTGGTACACTGCATCAGCATCAAGGGTTGGTACCTTCTTTGCTTCATTGATGTAGTTACATCATTATGAAAGTCCTTGTGGTAGATAAGAGCTGTGCTAGCCTGCTGGCCTAAAGGCAGCATTGAAAGGCAGAGCTGTGGTACCTACAGGCAGACTAGTGCAACCTCAGTCTTGTAGAGTATGGTTGGCATACTCCAGCCTTTCTCTCTACCCTGCTGTGACACACTGAGGTGTGGCTGGCAACTGCACAACAGACCCAGCTTCCTCCTCTATTATCTCCTCAATGTTGAGGAGGCGGGGTTGTAACATGACTTGACTCTGACCTTATTGCTGTTTCTGTGGGTTTTTCCCCTGATAAGGCTGGGTGCATGCCACACTCCTGTTTGAGTAATACAGAAGTCAGAAAGTTGCAGTGTCACCTCCCCTCCCTTTCCTGTCTGCACTAAAACAGATTGCTGAAGGGCAAGCTTATTCTATCTTGACCTGTAGTGTGCCATGCTTTTTTCTCTAAAACCTCTTTCTCCAATCCTTCTTTGCTGCCACACTGTATTGAGTGCTCTTTGTAATTCACTTTCTTTTCCACCATGTAGAAATATAAAAATATTTTTTAGAGAGGCTGTTACTTTTTAAAAGAGCTCTAAAGCACCTTCATATTGGTGCTTGCATAAACTAGGCTTCTTAGATTTTTAAGGTCAGATCATCTGGTCCAGTTCTCCTCAAATGATTTGGGGTCGTGTGTCCCTTTTAAAACATGTGATATTGTTCTGTATCACTGTGATGTCACGTTACAGATAGTCCCAGCACCCTGTAACCTCTCCCACAACCTACAGACTATCTTTTTTTTAATCCCTTTTCTTCCTTTTTGACCATTTATATTTCCCTTTTTCTTTCTACTACTTTCCTATTCCTCCTTCTGGTAGATCTTGTAGAAGTTTGGTACATATCTTGGGGGGCTACATGCTCCAGTTTGATAATAGCCAACCTAATCTAATCTTCAACATTACAGACCATCAGACCCCCATGGATTAGTTCCTCCTACTTGACCAGTGGCTGCATTTAAGCTAGAAAAATACCATCCATTTTTCATTTGAAGTTGGTGCAGTCACCTAATCCTTGTGCTCTGTCCCCATCTACAGGAGACGCAAGTAAACCTTCTGGCTTTAGAAGCGTGAAACCCCCCACGACCAAAGTGGCCTCCTCCATTGGGAATGCCCAGAAGTTGCCCGTATGTGACAAGTGTGGATCTGGCATTGTGTAAGTTGTTAACCTGCCCCAAGTGTTAACAGAGCAGAATGTACAAGTAGATGTTGTGCATGTCTGTAGGGTGAATTTTCTGGGGCTGATTCAACACCTCTCTGCTTCCATTTAGCTCAGATGGTGCTATGGGTGCTCACCACTGCTACAAATCAGGCTCTTGGCATATTGCAAAGGGTTCTGCATATCCCCCATGTCCCTCTCTATGTGGTAGGGTTAGGTTTCCCCCTGCATAAAGAGCCAGGATTGGATTTCACAGTGTAGGTGGATGGCTTCTGGGTTTCAGGTTAACATAGAACAGATATAGTTGCTACATGTAACATTCTGTATCTTAACTGATACATACAAGCTACTCTGCCACTGGGCATGGGAAACAAAATGTCCTCTCCAAACCATAGTTGATATCTTTTTGGGTCTGGATACGTGACCCATTAACACTTGTGGAATATACATTGGTGTCCAGAACAGACAGACAATGGGCTCCCCCAGGTTAGCCCCTGCTCTAGGTATTATTACAGAACCTATCCCTAGGTGATGTGTGAACCAAAAACAGTCTGTTTGCATTAAGCAAACAGCTACTCAGGGATAGAAGCAGACTCACAGCACCAACACCAGTGTAAACAACAGTGGTGTAGGTTATGCCTTGATTTTTCCTGGAGTAACTCTGTACCAGATTCTAGTGAGCTACCTTGATGTAGGGCTATAAACCTCTCCTAATTCACCCCAGTGGGAGGGGAGAGGGGTTACACTGGTGTAAACCTGTGGTAGGCCCTACATCTCAGCTCTTCCAGATATGAGATCAAGTTCCATGACCTGCTCCAGGTGGCAGAGGAAAGGAGGCAGCATGCCTTTGTGTGTAGGGCACTGGATTGGGAGCTTAGAGGTCTGGGTCCTATTTTCAGGGGGTGCGTGTAGATGTGCCACGAGGTTGATCCAATGTGCTGTAATTACAGGGCCTAGACACAAATTTGCTCTTGGTCAACCAGGCAACAGGGGGTGGGAGATTGCTCCCTGCCCCTGGGAGCTGCCTGCTGGTGGGGTGGGCTTTGCCACCGGAGTCCAGGTGGGAACAAATGTCCTCCTGTCCCAGCAGTAGGGAGCTGCCAGCTCTCGCTCTGCAATTGTAATCACAGGGAGTCTACACGTGCAGCACTGTGCAGTAATTACTCGGCATTTGCAGGTAGCAAATTAACTGCCAAGTAGAGCAAATTACTGTGCATTGAGTGTAAGTGCCCCCCGAGTCTCTTCACATTCTCCTGCCCAGATCCCTTGTACCATAAGCAAACAGACTTGGGAGAGCTGGAACTGATGAGCTAAGAGATGGGCCATAAATGAGTTCTGTCAACAGAGCTGTATGTCATGTAATGTAAAACATGAACCGCTGCAGATTCTGCAGTTAGCCTCCCAGCTGGGTAGATCTTGAACACACTCTGCTGTAAATAGCACTGGACCTAATTAATTTATGGAAAATACAGCTCATGGCTTGCGCCAAATTATACTCTTTGTGAATTGCTCTGGAGCTTTTCCCAGTAGCTGCCGAGTTGCTGTGTAGTTTCCATTCCTTCTTTCAGTTTAAATGATCTGAAAGTACTCTTGTTCACAGCTTTCCTAAAGGAGGCAGCTCATGTTAAATGAAGCAGTCTGATGCCACAGCTGCAGTGCTCACTGCAGTGGCTACCATCCACCACAACTGAAAATATAGCTTGGGGGCATCCCCGTGTACCTCTCGCACAACCATCTGGTTGACTTTTAAGTTGCCAGTTTAAGGTCTGCCCTTTGGTTCTGCAGCTTTTAGTTCAAACTGGCTGCATTGGAGTCAGTTTTTAGTGAAAGATATTTAATCCTGACCCTTACCCCTGTCCGTGGCCCCCTGAGCATTGGAGCTGGTGCCATTCCAAGAGGATGAGGAAATTCTTTCGTGCATGAATTTGAAAATCTGGGAAGAACTGTTCTAAAAATGCCTTCTCAAGGGAGGCACAGACCAGACAGTCATGGGGCTAATCCTCAGCTGGTGTAAATCAGCACAGTTCCACTGAAGCCACTAGGATATCATCAGTTTACATCTGCTAAAAATCTGGTCTGTAGTATCTGCTTAGCCAGGGGGTAGGCATACACCCTGAACCCCTTGTGTGAGGAGAGGAATCCGTAGCCTCTTGGGTGTTACCTCCTGCTCTTCCTGGATGGGGGACAGCATTCTCTCTCTCTCTCACTCGCCGCTTCGCTCTTCCCATTTGTGTGCTGCCAGCCGTGATTACCATGGTCTGGAAGCACACATGGCCCAGCAGTGGGGTGGAGGCCTGTATGGACTGCCAGTACTCTGCAGCTGAACAACATTGTTTGATTTCCCCAGGGGCGTGTTTGTGAAGCTCCGGGACAAGCACCGTCACCCGGAGTGCTACGTGTGCAGCGACTGTGGAACAAACCTCAAGCACAAAGGACACTTCTTTGTGGAAGATTGCATCTACTGCGAGAAGCATGCCCGGGAGAGGGTGACTCCCCCTGAGGGCTATGAAGTGGTCACTGTCTTCCCAAAGTGAATGAACGAATCAACAACACATTTTTTCCCCTCTCCGCAGCTGTTTCTCAAAAAACAACCCCCCCACTCCTTTCTGAATTCTCCTTGCAATAAGGAATATTAGGCATGGCTTTTTATTTTGCTGCCACATTAATCCTTCATCTGTTAGCAATAGCTGCCACTAATTGTTCCACATTTACTTTCTTTTTTTTAGAAGAAGAAAAAGCTGAGGAACTCATTGGGATCCCTTTTTTTACTATCAGATCCTTCTCCTTTCACTGTCAGTTACAAACAGAAATTGGGAGCCAAAGCCAAATCACAGATGTGCTGTGTCTCAGTTCTTTGCCTTCTGTTCACATGCAATAAATGGGGTGAATCCATGTGGCAAACTTGTCTGCATTTCTTGTGAAAACACACATTGGACTCCTCCCCTCTCTGCAAGCATGTTCCCCATTCTGTATAGATGGGAAGTGCTGCTTAGTATGTTGTTCCCTCTGTAAAGAAATGTGTGTGGCCCAGAAGCGCTTCAGACAAGGAATTATGATGGTGAGCCATAATCCTCTCTTTGGGTCCACTGCATTGCTTCACTTCCTTGTTCATCAGTGGGTCTTACTGCTCTCCTGAGCAGCAGGCTGAGCATGGAGATGGGTCTCTCTATTCATTGACCCTATTCACTCACCTGTGTGCTTGTGTGAGAGGCATCGAGTGGCAACCCCTAGGACCTGCTCTTCATCCCCATGCTGTGTCCCCTTTACTCCTAGCATAGCTTATAAGGGCAGGTTCCAATACTTCAAATATGTCTATCAAAAAATATCTAGGAACTACCAAACTCGCTGTTTCTGCAGTGTATGAGGCAGTGCATTGTGGGAAGGAACACCTGATTCTTCTATGAAGCCAAGGAGTCACTGGTGTTGAACATGGGCAAGCAGCATATGGCCATGTGTGAATTGTGGGCAGAAAAGAGTTTGTATCTTAGCTGTGGGGGGAGGGCAGAGAAAGGGGGTGACTTGATTCCAGGTTGTATCTGGTTTCACCAACCCCCTCCCACCAGCATATGGGTGTTCAGGAAAAGGTTTCAGTTAGGTCCTCCACAAAATACATTGTTTATGATCAACAGCTCATGACAGTAAGACCCATCTAGATGCAACATGTCTAGCCACTGACCTGGAGGAAAGCCAAGTCAGTGTGGATGAAAGAAAGGGAAGCTCAAACCTTCTAGAGCAACAAGTGAGGAGGATTTTGATGAAGGAAAGTAGGATACTACCTGCCTATTGAAGAGTGCAGTGGCCACCTGTTTGACTATTCACAATTGCACAGGCATCCTTAACAATCAGTTAAAATCCACATGGCAGCTATAGCAATTGCTTTCATGAGATAAAGTAATATTAGGGGGAGAGGACTTTGTTCATAGCTGCCACTTGGCACCATTTGACTAGAGACCTCTCCAAAGGTACTGATGGTTCATGAACCATGATTTGGGCAACACTTGTGAGAAACTATGCACTAGCTTTTGATTTTGATGAGTGTCTGGGCTTGAGAAATTACCCTACTCAGCACAATAAAACTGACTTGGCTGGGGTGCGGGGAAACTCCAAGTGGAGCATGCCTGGGGACGGGCACACAGGAAAGCTCACTGGTGGAGGACACTAGCACAACTGTTTTTGAAAATGTTGACCAAACAGTTTTCTCACAGCATCCCAGGAAATCGAGGGTGTCAGTTGGGGACCTCAGCTGCCTGTACACCAATGCCAGGAGCTAGCCCTCCTGCTTTGTAGTGGACAATATGACTTGGTAGGGGTTACAGAGACCTGGTGGGACTCCTTGCATGATTGGAATGTAGCCATAGAGGGCTGCACCTGGCACAGAAGGGATAGAGTAGGGAGAAAAGGCAGAGGGGTAGCTCTCTATGTGAGAGAGCAGTACACCTCTCTGGAGGCTGACATTGGCTCCAAAGATAAGCAGCTTGAAACCCTCTGGGTCAAGCTACAGAGAAGGGGGCGGAGGTGAGAGAAAGCTAACTAGGCATTTACTACAGGCCACCAAACCATGGGGAGGAGCTGGATCTGGAGTTCTCTCAAGAACTGACAGAGACCACGTGTGCAAGGGACTTGGTTATCATGGGTGACTTCAATTGTGTGGCTTGAACATTGAGGGTAACCTGGGCGACAGTGACCATGAAATTATCAGGTTCGACGTCTGCCGCAAGGTTGACAAATCAACCAGCAGGATTGAAGTCCTGGACTTCAAAAATGCTGACTTCAACAGGCTCAGAGCATTAATAGGGGAGGTGATGCAGGACCAGGAAGGCAAGGCAAATGGGGTGCCCAAAGAGTGGTCATTGCTCAAAGACACGATCCTCAAAGCACAAAAGAAAACCGTTCCTACAAAGAAGAAAGGCAGCAGAAAGGCTGGCAAACCCTTCTGGCTTAATAGGGACATTGCAGTCCTCTTTAAAAAGAAAAGAAGAGGTGTATGTACAGTGAAAGCTAGGGAAGGTCCTCAAGGAGGACTAAACAACAGTGACGGGCACTTAGAGAAATGATCAGGAAAATCATGGTGGCAATGCAGTTTAGGTTAGCTACCGAAGTCAAGGACAATAAGAAGTCCTTCTTTAGGTATGTAGGCAGTAGAAGGAAAACAAATGGAAGTGTGAGACCCTTGCTTAACACTTTGGGACAGCTGGTAACAATATTCAGGGAAAAACTGAACTCCTGAATGCCCACTTTTCTTCAGTATTTCACTGGACCAAGGAGAAAGTCAAGCGAGATAAGGCTTTGAGGGGACATGACAGGACTGACAGCCTCCCCACTGTGGCTGCTGAATGGATGCAATGCCAACTAGAAAAGCTAGGCATTTATAGATTAGCGGGACTGGATGAACTCCATTTGAGAGTGCTGAAGGAGTTGGCTGAGGTCATTGCGAAACCCCTGGCAAAGCTCTTTCAGAATTCATGGTGCACAGGGGAGATCCCTGAGGATTGGAAGAGGGCCAGCATTGTGTCCATCTACAAGAAGGGGAAGAGGGAGGACCCGGGCAATTACAGGCCTGTCAACCTAGCTTCCATCCCAGGGAAAATCCTGGAAAAGTTCATTAAAGAATCTATGTGCGGTACACTCACAGAAGGTAGGATTCTGAACAACAGCCAGCATGGCTTTTGTCATGGGTAGGCGTTGTCTTACCAATCTCATCTCCTTCCACAACCAGGTCTCTCGCCACCTGGATATGGGAGACGTGGTAGATGCTATATACCTGGACTTCCAAAAGGCTTTTGATTTAGTATCGCATGATATCTGTGTGGGAAAACTGGAAGGTTGTGGGCTCAGCTGTTTGAGAGTTCAGTGGGTGGGAAAATGGCTACAGAGTCGGACCCAGAGAGTTCCCATGAACGGATCTGTGTCATCCTGGTGCAAAGTGTCCCTCGGGGTCTGTGGTTAGACCGGTGCTTTTCAACATCTTTATCAATTATTTGGATGGGGGAGTGAAAAGCTTGTTGGACAAGTCTGCGGATGACACCAAGTTATGGGGCAGTGTGGTCACCTCAGAAGATAGGTTGCAGATACAGGCAGACCTGGACAGGCTCGAGAGTTGAGCAGACTGGAACCAGATGAAGTTCAACACTTCCAAGTGTAAGGTGCTCCATCTGGGGGCAAACAACCCTCAACATACATACAAGCTCGGTGGTGACAGCTAGACTTGCACCATGGCCAAAAGGGACCGAGGTGTAATGATTGACCATAGTATGAATATAAGTTGTGAGTGGAAGGCAGTGGTCAGCAGGGCAAACAGCATGCTGGCATGCATCACCTGATGCATCTTGTGTAAAACTAAGGAAATGATATTCCTGCTGTGCTCAGCACTGGAGTACTGCGTCCAGCACTGGACACAGTTGGAGTACTGCGTCCAGTTCTGGGCACCGCATTTCAATAAGGACGTGGAAAAACTTGAGAGGGTCCGGAAAAGATCAGGAAATTGCAAGGAAAGCCATAAAAGGAAAGGATGAGGGACCTGGGCCTCTTTAGTTTAAAGAAAAGAAGGTTGAGAGGGGACTTGATAGCAGCTTACTGCTATATCAGAGGAGTGTATCAGGAGCTTGGTAAACAACTGTTCACTAGGACACCCCTGGGGAAGACCAGGACCAATGGATACAAACTCCTGACTATGGAATAAACTCCCTCCAGAGGTGGTGCAGTCACCTACTCTGGAGGCTTTCAAGAGGAGACTAGACAGTCACCTTGCTGGGGTCCCCTAACCCCAGTTGTCTTCCTGCCTAGAGTGGGGCAGGGGCTGGACCCGATGATCTGCAAGGTCCCTTCTAGCCCCTAATAATCTATGAATCTATGAATACCTGGAGTTCTGCAGCAGACTTCCTAGGATCCTGCACCGTGTATTGCAGGTTTCTAGGAATTCTGCTGCAGAACTCCAGGGATTGTTTTGTAGCCACTTCTCATCAACATCTTCCACCCTTTGTCCCCCAGCAAGTCAGTCCTGTCTTGGGTCTCATTTATTTTCATTATCACTGCATTATACTGAATCACTTCCCCATATTTTCAGTACTTTGATTCTAATCCACTTGAATCAAATGACTCAGGGAGCCATTGTTTACAGCTATGAGGAACTTGGCTGGTCTCGCCTAAGCTTGATATGTAGCAAATGGGGCTGTCCGCTTTGGCCACCAGGACAAGAGGTGCTTGCGGTACAGCTATGCGGCAGAGACCATCCCCCATGTGCTGTGCAGATGCAGGCCACATGCCAGAGCCTGGCAGCTCTGCCACAACGCTGTCCATGAGTGCCTGGTAAAGGCCATCCTGGCCGCAGTGGGGGAGATCTCTGTGAACCACACCATCCTGGGCTGTGAGAGCCAGATGCACCCTGACATCATCATCACCCACGAGGAGACCAAGAAAATTGTGATCATGGATATCACCATTCCCTTCAAGAACCAGTGCCAAGCCTTCACTGGCTCCTGGGCTCACAAGCGGGAGAACTACGCCCCACTGGCTAACATCCTGAGGGGCCGCAGCTATGACATGACGGTCAACGCACTTATAGGAATGCTTGGACCCCAGCAACGAGAGCATCCTGTGTGCCTGCTGCATCTCCCACTGCTATGCCAAGCTGATGCGCTGCCTCATGGTGTCCTACACCATCCGTTGGTCCTATGACATCTACATTGAGCACATCATGGACCATTGCCAATACACCAACCTCACCAGGCCGACCGCCACTGGATTGGACCCAGAGGGGACTGCCTGAATCCCCCTCTGCACCTAATGGACTCCGAGAGGAATTTTCAATGACAGAGCACTCCACTCCACCTGAAGAGGACCCCCGCGATAAGACTATAGACTGAGAAACTTCTTCAGCCTACCCCCTCCACCATTGTGGACCA